GGGGGGGCGGGGGGGAAGAGAAGGAACCTGGAAACCTGCCACTGAGTAAGAAAGGCACCTTTGGTGCAGCTCAAGGGTCAGATGGACAGTGGTGAGAGACAGCAGGCTGGGGTAGGCGAGTCCGAAGTTAAAGGGAGGAAAACGTTGAGAATGGCCCGGGCTCACAGCCTGGCTACTGGGATGGTGTGACCATTTAATGGAGCAGGACTACTGCAGAAGGTGCAGGCTGGGCACTCTGGACAGCCTGAATTTGGGAAATCTGCAAGCCATGCACCTGGAGATGAGTAGTAGGCAGCTGAACATAGGACTTTGGAGTTCAAGAGCATGGCCTCCTCTGAGGGCACAGACTTAGAGCTGCCAACAGAGTGGGTGACAGAAACTGTAAGAGCAGATGAGACCATCCCAAATGATGAGGGGCCGCACTAAATGACTTTTTCTCACCAGTATGAGCCTTGAATCTGTAACTTCAGACTTTTGACATTTCACTTTTTTATTTTTTCTAACCCTCACCCGAGGATACATTTTTCATTGATTTGAGAGAGAAACACTGATTGGTTGCTTCACACACAGGCCCGGACCCGGGTTCTACCCACTGACCCTCACTGGCCAGGGCTGACATTTCCCTTTCAAAGCAATCATCTTCAGCTGTGAATGTAGTTCGAATCTGTCTCTGACGAGATTCCTGGTTCAATTTTTTACGTCCAAATTGGACTGTTAGTTGTTTAGCCTGCCAATGACGACACTGTAGTGCTATGAATGTGTCTTCAAATCAATGATATTTGAATACTTTTGGGGTCACAATCCATCACCCTCAGCCATTAAATATTAAAAGCAGGTAAACAGGAAGTGTCACTTGCATAACAGTGTTCCTGAAACCCTTCTGGAAGGCAACATGGCCAAACCACGGGAACTGGAGCTCTAGCATGAGAATTCAAATTCAGCTTTATGTTCCATGTACAAAAAGTTAGAAGACAAGTGGACTATGTAGTTTGTTTCATCTATTGTGGTGTGATACATAACCCAAAAGATGAACTATTACAAGGTTTGATGTAAATAAAGCTTTTGAATGTATAAACTGGAAGGGGGAAAAGTTTTCAAAATTTTTTCCCCATTTCTCTTCAATTATGCAGGCAGATACTGGCGACAAGTATATTTCTGTCTGCTGAACCAGTTGAGACTAAGCCCAGTTCCCCAGAGCACTGGGATGGATGCAGGCCCTGCACCAGACAGGAAGCTGAAGGTGCAGGGGTGGTGGGGGGAGGGGGAAGGACACACCCACAGGGGAACCCTTGCTCATCCTGAATGAACACCTTGTCCCCCAACTGTGATGCCATGTGGGACCCAGGGCAGATATGTGGCAGCTGAGCAGGCTCACCCCAGTGGAGAAAAGAAACAAAATATCTGTTTGGGCCCCAGCATTTCAAGAAGGCAGCTTTGTCCCTGTAACCCTGGCTCAAAATACCTCCCTTTAAAAAAATGTCCTTTTCATTATAAAATGAATGAAATCACATTATAGAAAGTTTAGAAAATAGTGATTATTCCATGTCTTGCTGCAATCACTATTAGTACTGTACATTTTTCTCTAGCTTTTTCTTCACGTTTCTTTTTATCATTAGTTGTAGACAAGTGAACGCACAATTTTGTATCCTGCTTTGTTACTTAACGTTTCATCATCAGTGTGTTGCATATTATTACCTGAGTAGAAATGCTAGAAATGCTCTGTGAGCAGAGAGAGGTGGCTGAGTTGATACTTACGGGGAAGAGCATTACAGTTTGAGAACTCAGAAAAGGAGGTGCTAGTCTGGAAGAGCTTGTTAGCAACAACCTAGAGGCAGTGTGGAGTCAGCCTGCTGTGTTTGATATCTTGGCTCTGCTACTTGCATCTTGTGTGAACTTAGGATATTTAGTAACTTCTTTGTGCCTCAGTTTTCTCACCCCTAAAATGGGGATTAATGAGGATTAAGTGTGTATTACTTAAAAGAGCACCTGGCACATAGCAGGTACCCCATAAATATTAAGTTCATTCCAAGCTAGCTGTTGACTGTGAGCAAGTAATTTAGCATCTTTGGATCTGAGTGTCTTTATATTATATAAACATTATGTTTATAT